TGGACGGCGTAGCCGGGAGCGCCGACGGTATACGACGACGGGGTGACCACGGCCGTGGAGTGGACACCCAGGCATCCCGCAACCGCCCTCTTAAGGCGCCAGGCGAGGGCAGCAACAAGTGAGCGGCGCTTGTCAGGTGTCCTCGCCACGGTTCTGGAACTGCAACGTCTTGTGGAGACTGGTGACATGGCCCGACGACGGCGTCCCGAGGCAGGGATGACTGCACCTTCGGGCAACAGCTGCACCTTGGATAGGTCGATCCTTCGGCCGCCCTCCTCATGCCGACGCCCATCGCGGCGGTAGTCCCGCCGGTCCTCGTGGCGCCCATCCTCCGCCCGCCTATCCGCAGCCCGCGACCGCGCCAGGAGGCAGGACGGTCGTCTCGGCGCCCGCGGCGATCTTCCTCTCGGCTCCGGTCCTCGTCGCCGCGGCGGTCTCTGCCATCATCATCACGCCGCCGACCACCACCTCCATTGCTGGGCGGCCGATGCCCCCGGTCGCGCAGCGCGGCCTCGCCGTCGACGATCCCGTGCACCTAGTCATAGCGGTCGGAGCTGCGTGGCCTCGACGGGATGGACCCGTCCTCGTACGGGGTGAAGTCTTCTAGCCTGTCCAGATGGACTATGACCCTGTAGGTGAGCCCTTTGCGCCTGCCCATGGACGATGTAGACACAACGACCTCGCTGCCGACGATGGTCACCCACATGACCTTAGGGATAGTGGAGGGGTTGACGCACCATGCCCAGAGGTCCAAAGTGGTCGCGTCCACCTTCTGCAGTGTGGCAATGTCGAAGTAGTGGAGGATGCACGAGCTGCCGATGATCTTGCCGACCGCCTCCTCCGACCATGCCTGCAACGGCACCTCCTCAAGGCACAAGTGGACATGGTGGTGGAAGGACGCAGCATCTGCCCTGGTCAGCGGCCTCCAGTTGGCCGCATGGATGTCAAGGTCCCCATGAGAGAACCTGCCTGGTGCCGCCGTCAGCAAATCCCGGTGATGCGGGAAGGTGAACTTGACGAAAAAATCCTCCGGGTGGTGGGGGACGACCGTGATGTCCGCCTTTGGCACCCTGGTGTAGCGGTGGATCGCCTCCTCCATGGTGGCCGCGTTGATCCGCGGGCGGTTGCCGCCGAGCCAGACCAGAGCAGCAACGTTGGCGAGCGCCGCCGCCTGCGCGTCCATGTCTGGCGTGGACGCCATGACGACAAACCCCCTCCGCGGGACGCGAGGCCGACTCACCCAGTCGTGGCATGGCAGCCGGCACCAGGGGGCGCGGGCGAGGTGGAAAGGGCACAGTGGGAGCGCGTCGAGCGCGAAGCTGCTGCAGCCTGGTGGAACACTCTCGGAGCCGGTGGCCTTGCCTGTTGCAATAGTCGCAGACAATGGGATCCCTGCAGTCCACGGATATATGCCCGCGTTGCTTGCAACGATGGCACTTGCGTTTATGAGGCTTCACCGCCCTTCTGTCTCTCCATGAAGTCGCTCGATTCCCGGTGCCAGATGACGAGACGGCCGCGCGGTGCGGCTGCCCCCTCTGACCACAGATGCCTTGATGGCGCCACCAATGCGCCGGGCACACCACCTGCCACTGGTGTGCGTTGTTGTCTGAATAGGAGTTGGAAGGGCGACCGGCGAGGGATGCCCATGACTGCACAGGCGCGGGCGCAGCTGGCCGAGGATCAGCAGCATGAATGCACCCAGCAGACGGATACGCATCAGAAGCTTCATTGAATGGTGGCGCAGTTGCACATCCCCGGCCCGCATCAATGCAGCTGGAGGAGATCTCGAAGCTCACGCGCTTGGGCCCCGAGACGCCCCGCGCTCCGCCCATAGCCGCGGCCCCGTGCTCAGGCGACTCCGGGACGACCGATGAGCCCGAGCGAAGCACCCGACGCGGTGACAGATCTGGATCCCACGCTGGATCCCGCGGTGGAGGGGGAGGGGGCGTGG